CACTTCCCCCCTGCCCCAACCTTCAGATCAAATCAGATCAAGATGCATTCTATATAAAACTAACCACATAGGGCAAAAAGAAATCACACAAATTCCTCCTTCCTACCTGACTAGAAAAATACATCAACAGAAAATTAAATAACTGATAATGTATGCCCTTTCATGACACCACAAATCTGCTTGTGTACCAGTGGGACCTGCATTCTCACCACTACTCCTTTCTGGAGTGGTGGTGGTGGTGAAGTCCCTTGAAATGCCAGGACTGGATAAAATAAAAGAAAGGAATACATTTGGCCAGAAGTTTCCCATTCCTAGCTGCAGTATATTAATTCTAGTTCAGAATAATAACCAAAGAACAAAACAAAACCTCCAAGCTGGTTCCCCGTAGAAATGAACTATGGGCTGGAGGAGAATGCAAGAGCTCAGCTATTGTTCATAATCAATCTCCATATGTTCAAGTGTGTTTAGTACAGGAACCTAACCTCCAATCTTGTAGAGTATGAACAATATAGAGGGACTTGACTTGGCAAGGATAAGCACATAGAATCCTATGTGACACTGAACATGGAGATTGGAGTTAAACCAGTAGATGTTCCTTAATTCACAAACCCACCCCCCAAAAAAATAATTTCTGCAGAGAATAAAAATTTCACAATTAACATTAACTCTGGTCTTTTGGTATATGGTAGAACTACCCCCTAAAAGTATCTGGCAAGCTGAGCTATGCCAAAAACCTCTTTTTTTTTTTTCTTTAAACCTCCTCCATATTTTTAAAACAATGGCACAACTGGTGAACACTAGAGTATGCCTTGGTCATTCTACCAAGAGTCATTAAAAAGACTGGTTAGCCCCTAGATAATTTCTGAATTGCTAGCTAGATCCAAGGCATCAGAGAAAGAGCATTTTCATTATATTTCATTCATTGGGCAAAGCAACAGTCTCCTCAAAGAAGCTGCCTTCTATTATTGTTGGTCACAAAGCCAGATATTTAGACTAGACTTGGCATTTTTATCCACCTATCGAGTCCTTCACAAGGACCTGAGATAGGGAGATTTGTTGTTTGATGGTGTCAAAGGTATCATTGCAGGATGTAAGCTGTTCCAAGTAAAGCTGCCTTTTGCAATGACTGATGGTGATTTTGTCAGTACCGATGGTGTTCAAGTGGTGCTCCAGATGTTTTGGGATTGTACCCAAGGCACCTATTACTATTGGTATTATCTTTGCTTTCTTTTGCCACAGTTGTTCTACTTGCAATTCTTTGTATTTTCTGATTTTCTCCAGTTCTCTCTCTTCTATTCTGCTGTCTCCAGGTTTTGCAATGTCCACTATCCAGACTTCTTTGTCTTTGTCTATTATTGTTAATTCTGGGATGTTATGTGGCAGGTGCTTCTCTAAATTCT